TTTGTATACAAGTAAATTGCAATAACACGATTTGTTTGGATTATGTTTATATACAAGTTAGTCTGTTTTCATAGTAATAACTGATGTGGTGAAGTTAATTTTTCAAATAAATCTTTATTTTTTTATTTCGTGCTGAAGTTCTTTTTTAAAGTTATCAATTTCCTTTTTTAATTCTTGATGCTCTATTAAAAAACAACGCTTAGCATTAAATTCAACATAATTTAATGGATCATTTTTTGAAAAAGCTGTATTATATTTACATTTAATAATATCAGTCTTTGAGCATTGTAGCCCAAGTTAAACAAAAAATATCGATTTTTAAACGATAATGTTCTTTCAGGAAAATCGTCTGAACATGTTTTCGATCTCTTGAAAATTCTATATGATATAAGTTCAGTATTTACATTTTTTTTCCATTATAAACCTCTGTAACTTTAACCGTTGAAACATTGTTTACGTTTTTACTTTCATTTCTGCGCGCGCATAAATTTTATATCGTATTTTTTGTCAACAATGATTGAAATAACGACGTTGAAATAACGTTAAATAATCAATGTTTTAAACGGTAACGTTGATTTAACGTTGAAATAACGTTAAACACTCAACGTTTAAACGGTAACGTTGATTTAACGTTGTGACATAGTTGAACAACGTTGAAACAATGCTTCAACTGAATTTCAACGTTGAAACAACGTAATAATGCCGGCTGGGGGGTTATTCAGATGAGCATCAGAAACATTTTCTTGATTAAATTGACTTCGAGATTGAATCTGCATCGCCCTGATGTGTTCAGGAATATTGAAGTCGTCTTCAAGAGGCCTTCGAGAAATAACTTTTGCGGTATTTGAAAAATCTTCAGGATAGGTCAGAAAAAAACCTCTATACTTTCCAGGCACAGGAGGAATAATATCTTTGTTTTTGTAAAGAAACTTCCATTTATCTTTTAAAAAACTTTTGGTGCTTGATAAGATTAAGTTAGAAAAGTCTTTTTCAGGCGACTTGCTAAATGCTCCTTTGCCAATTTGTATGCGACTTAAATAATGAAATATATATATATATATATATATATATATATATATATATATATATATATATATATATATATATATATATATATATATATATATATATATATATATATATATATATATATAAATATATGTATATATATATATATACATATATATATATATATATATATATCTATATATATATATATATATATATATATATATATATATATATATATATATATATATATATATATATATATATATATATATATATATATATATATACATATATATATATATATATCTTTATAATAATACTGGACTTAATAGTGGTAGTAGTTGTAGTAGTAGTAGTGCGCTTTCGAGCCTGACTGACACGATACTCTTGGCAACCATTGCATCCGAGGTAGTGACGAGAAAGAGTCTTACCTTTGCTTTATAAGAAAACGCGAGCAAACGTGAAACTCATATTGTACGTACATAAACTTCATGTTATGTAATGTTAAAACATGCTTAAACATATATCAAGTTCAACAGTTTGATTTTCACTTAAGAACTGCATTTCGTCAACCTTTGCTTAATTTCTAATCTTTTGTGTGTTTATCCGTTAAAAAACAATTTTACATAATTTAAAATCTTCAAACCACAACGTGACAGCGTAGTAGAGTGGTTAGCGCGCTGGGTTTCTGACCAAGTTAGCCGTGGTTCAAGTTCTACCATCAGCGACCTCTTTTTTTATTTTTTTTGCGCATGTGTCATTATTGAGATACTTATGTTATTTTAGTTAAACTTTTCAAGTTTATTTACAACTAAATTGAGCAAGGAAAATTAGTAAAAAACATGTTTATATATAGAATATAAAATCTATATAACTTTTGATTTGCAATTTAAACAACAAAACCGCGTGCCAAGCTGATGAACTTGGCACGCGGCGACCATAACTTTTTTTAAAAATGGTAAGGGGGATAAAAAAAAGTATATTTTTATTTAGAACGTAATTAAAGATTTTAATTTTATATGTACACTAAATTATTTTATAAAATTTATTGTTTCTAAAAATAATTAAAAGTTAAACTATTTAATATTAGCATAATACCGATTTCTAATCTTTTGCATTTATATCCGTTAAAAACAATTTTTATATAATTTTGAATCTTTAGGTCTTAATACGTCAGCGTAGTCGATTGGTTAGCGCTGGGCTTCGCCGTGGTTCTAGTTCCACCGTAGGCGTCTATGTTCTAATTTTTTTTTAGATTTTTTTAAATACAAATTCAAATACTTATAAAGTTTTATAGATATTGTATATAGACAACATATGTAAAGATATTAATCAAAAGTTTGATCCTCGCATTTTGACACAGAACCAACTTCGCTAACGAGAGAAAAAAAATTGTTCACAAATTTCAAAATTTTGTTTTTTCGTGAAGTCTTTTAACACTTAAATTCGAACTTTCTTGACATATTCCAAGCCTTTTTGAGAAAAAACTTTGTTGATCAAATATACAAAAACAGAAATTCAGCTTTTTTGTATATGATAAATATCGCTGTGGTACAAAATGCCAACCTAGGTTTTTTAAACAAAATGCCAATCGAGTTTTACTTCCACGCGGTTTTAATCACCACGAGGCTTAGTTAAATGCTTAGTTAAATACTTAAAAAAAGATAAAATTTAAGGCTTAAAAAAAGAATTTTTTACAAATTTTTTCTTACATCTTTCTAATCCTTGACTTTTGGATTTAGATTTATTACATTGATAGTAACATTATCATATTATTATTTTTAGATTATTACATTGTTTGATATTTTTTTTAGAATTTAGATAAAAGCGACAAAAAAAGTGTCTCCCCCCTATTCTTTAGGATTTTAGAGTCACCATTAAATTTTGACATAAGTTGCAAGAAGTGTCTCGCAAATGCCATTTATGTTAAAGTTAGTGTTTACGCAATCAATAAGTTTAATCTTCGTATCTAGGACATCATTTTCAAGTATCAAGTTATTATTTAGATGTTTTCATTTGATTGAGATTATCTTGCGTTATAAACCGGATAATAGTTTTTTATGAACTGTAAGCACGCGAATAAAGTGTGCATTTATATCCTAAAGACCCGTATTTTACGGGTCATGACAGCTAGTATATATATATTTAAACAATTTAAAATGTATTCTACATAATAGTGCTCAATGTTCTTAAAAAAACAGAGCAATTACAAATTAGTAGAAAATCACTTTGCAAAATTTTTTCTCATTTAACACTATAAAGACTCATCAGAAATGCATTTCTGATGAGTCTTTATTGATGAAACACAGTGTGAAATGAGAAAAAATGTTGCTAAGTAATTTTCTACTAATAAAATTACAATAATGTGTGGTGTGGTGGTTGGTAAATTTAAACGTGGTGCCTGCGCTCCGAGGTAAATTCCTACTGGAGTTTATTTTAATTTTGTATTTATATATATTTTTTTTATTAATTTACTATTTTTTATGCTAATATATATTAATAATAAAAATTAATTTAATAAAAGACACGGCGGTTAATAAATAGTTAAGTTATTCAACACAAATGCGCCTAAAATTTCATGCCTTTAAAAGAAAACATTATCGTTAATGCTCTTACTTATACAATTAGAAGAGGGAAGGGGGATAAAAGAAAGGGGGGAATTTTAGTCTAGATCTAATAAATGGGGCATTAATAAAAGGGGGAGTAAGAGTTTTTTTTCGATACAATATAATTTTTTTTTTAAACAAAGTTTAGTTTATAAATCTGAACTAATATTTTTTAAAAGATATGCTTAAAATTATTTGGCTTTCAGTCAAATGCGCATTTTTAAAAAGCTGTTTTGGCATGATTTAATATGCTAAATCGAGATTTATTAGGTAGACGATTTTTAAAGCCTATTTACACTGAAAGTTTTTGCTTCTATCGATGACTGAAAGAATTATTTTCTAATTTTTAAGACCGATTTCCACTGATTATTTTTTTCAGTTTTGAGATATAAAGTTTTTGCTGACAACAATTAAAAATTAATAAAAGAGAGGGGGGAGGAGTATTAATAAGCTTAGGGTGGGCGTCAAATTTTCCAACAGTTAGTAAACACACCCTCCCCCTTTTTTTTATTAGGGTCTTAAGAGTAATATAGTTTATAAAAAAATTCTTTAATGAAACTTTATAACTTAGATTTTTTTATTTTTAACATTTTGTTTTAAGTCATTTAAATTCTAAATTTCAATTCTTTTTCACTTTACACTATTAAAGGGTTCCCTAAGCGTTGAGACAAGTTGTGTTCATATCAAAGATTAACATTAGAAAATAATTTAAATGTTAATTAAACCTTCTCAAGCAAATTATTGAATGAGATGTTAAGAAAAACTTTCAATTTTTAACGCCATTTTGTTTCTCGCGAAGGAAAAATCTGGCTTTTTGACTATTTAATTTTTTTTAATCCGGTCTGATTAATGCATTTTTGTCCTCTACTACAATCTATACTTCTATACAATAAAAAAGGTGAAAATCTTAAAATTTTCATTTTTTTTATTATAACTGTTTTAAGATCAAAATTTATCACTGAATCTGAATTTGTCATCAAAATTTAAAAAAAAAAACTTTTTTTTTGAAGTTATTTTAAAATATCTTGGATTTATACTCTTAGCAACGCCCTTTGCAACCATGTTATGGACTTATAACACCTCCAATTGCAAGTTATTTTCAGTTCATTTATTTCATAATTTGTTTGCAAGTATTCCTGATGCACTTAGCATAATTAAAAAAATTTTAGTTTGAATTTTGACTTGGTAAACCAAAATGGTAAATCAAAGAAATAAGAGAAGCGGCTAAATACAGGAAAGTCTCCCTATTTTGATTGGATGGAAAAAAATTGTTTTATAGAGTCCGTAAAACAATTTTCTCGTTTGCCGGATTTATTTAAGTTTATGCCTTGTAAGGATATACATATATATATATATATATATATATATATATATATATATATATATATATGTAATATATATGCGATGAAGCACGCTATCAGATTCTAATTTCTAACACGCGATAATGATGGTAAGTAAGTGCTGCTGTATTTAATGATTTATTTAATGTTTTTTTTTTTTTAATTCTTTATTTTTTTATCTTTTTTTACTTCTAAATAACGATTTTTTTGTTTAAGGCATCTGGAAGCTTATCATCAAACAAAATAAAGCTTAATCAGCTTACGATCAACAATTATAATTGAGAAAATGCATACGAGTCTCAAAAACAATTTATAAAAATTGTTCATGATTATTTTATCAAAACAACCCAGTTTTCTGTTGACAAAATTGAAGATGTTTTTTCCCTTAAATGTTTGCCACCTAAACATCAATTAATAAAATGGTCTACTGAACTATCTCTGCGCAACAATATTGCCAATGGAATCCATTATATAGAATGTAATCTTGGAAAGTTTATCTATGAAAGTGTTCAGCATCTAATAGCACTTCATAGGGTTCAAGAAATTAAATTAGCAGTTGATCAAGAGCTAACATGGTTTAACTCTTCAAAGTTAGTACCAAAATCAATTGGTATTTTTCCTCCTCAAAATTTAATTGAAAAGTTCAAAGATGTTCTTTTTAGAATGCCAGCTAGTAGAGATATTTCAGAATATGGGATAAAACCCAACACTTTATTTGAGTTATGCTGATAGCTCTCATCAGATCATATGCTGCAATTTTCCAGTATTTTAAATTCTATTCAAAGCCATTCAAAGGTAATTTACTTTAACTTTATAGGAAATATAGAGCATTATGTTTCAAGAATAACTGCAATCCTAGAAAAATTGATTTTTATTTTAAATGTTGGAGGAAACAATGAGAAGTTCTCTGGCACAGATTTAAATCCAGATAGCCACTGGACATTCGCAGTTTATAATAGTACTAAGGGTGATTTTTACTATGGTGATTCTATGGGTTGGTCAGTTCCAGATGATTTTTTATTTAAAGTCAAATTATTGACCAGAAAACTGTATCTTATAAATAAAAGCTTTGACATCATTTACTGTCATGACCCAAGAACGCATAGGAATGGAAATAAAAAATGCAGTTCTTTATGCAGAGAAAACTATCCAATGCAAACTTGTGGAAATATCTGTGGAGTAATTACCATAATAATATGTGCAATCTCTTGTTTACAGTATGATTATTTTAACCATATTATATGTAAAGCTAAAATAGAGAACAATAGTTACATTTTTCTAAAAGAGCCTACTAAATACTCTAAATATTTAAGATTAGTTTTGATGTCATGGCTTATTAGCAAAGAAATTAATCTGGATTTTATTATTCCTACAACTATTGTACGTGAAGTATCTAGCAGTTTTGAATTATGTGATTCTGATAAAGATGAAGATGTGATAAACACAAATGTAATGGAATCCAAATTAAATGAAAACAATCATTAACATAAAACATACCAATTTTTCATCTCTAAAATGTGCATTTTGTGATGTCTCCTTTACCCAAAAAAAGAACTTGCAGCGACATATAAAAAATAAGCACAAGTCAATTGATGAAGCTCAAGCATATCTTCAATCAGGAAATTCTTTGTGTCTCCAGTGTGGATTTCAGTGCAGACAAATGAATGGTTTAAGAAAACATTTATCTGCAGTTCACCTTTATACTTTTCAGAAAGAAAAATTATCATTTGCTAATGTTAAAGGTAATGCTTTGTTTTATTTATTTTTTAAATGTCTTAATTATAGTTTAGAAAACACACCAATTATCAAATTTTTTGTTTACATTTGTTTTTTCTATTTTCTTGATTTTGTTGTTATTTCATATTTTAAAATCACTTGAAATAATTTTGATATATAAAATAATCAATATTCAAATAAAAATGCTTAAATGAGTAGATTTTAGAAAATATTTAAGTTCGTTAGTGTTTTAAGCATTCCTTTAATTCAAGTTTGACACCAGTTATTGTTTAAGTTGATGTTAGTTACTCATGAATTATTATTTTATTCATAATGTAAATAAATGATAATTATGTTTAATTTAATTGTCTCTCTTTTTGAATTAGTTTGAATTATTGGTTTGTAATTATTCTAGAATTTGACATGTGGAAATCAGATATTGAAAGTAATAATGCAACACAATATGTTTTATCATCTGGTGAAAAGTTCGATAAAGATGGTTGGAAAGTATCATACTATCAATGCAGTAGAAGTGGACTTTATAAATGCATGGCAAATAAAAGAATAGTCAAAAGTAGTGGTATGTAATGAGTATATAGTGTATTTAAAAAGATTCGATTATTTATATATGTACCATTAAAACAATTTATTATAGGTGACTTAAGCATAAAAAACTGTACCATTAAAACAATTTATTTTTCATTATAAAAACATGGATCATTAAAAAAAAAAGATTAAAAGATTTGCAACTAGTTTTAAGTCATTAAAACTATAACTGTAAATTTTCTGGACAAAAGTTCAAAAAGACAAAACTTTTTGACAACATGATGACTACTTTTTGATATATACATTATTTAACTAATATTGAAAGACATAATGTTGATATAAGAGTCTGATCATGTCATCATAACTCAATTATCATTATTTAATTTATATGCTCCTTATATATTGTATGTATTATATTTATTACAAATAATTATTTATTCTTTTTTATCACAATCATCTAATTAACAGGTACTCGAAAAATTGCAAAAAATTGCACATCAACACTAAAAGTTTCCCAATGCTCAGAAGGACAAGTTGCAGTTCATGCTTGTTATTCACACTATGGACATAAAAATGAAATTCAGCACATTTCTCTATCAAGTGTTCAAAGACAAGAAATTGCTTGCAAACTAAAAATGGGTATAACTAAAAATAGAATCCTAGATGATATTAGAGATGAAATAGGTTGTGTTCAATCCAGATTACATTTAACTCAGCGGAAAGATATTACAAACCTAGAAAAAGCATTCAATATTAATTCTATTCAACTTCATGCCAATGATCAAGACAGTGTTGCAATTTGGCTAAAAGAATGGAAAATGAAATCAAATAATCCTGTTCTATATTATAAACTACAGGGTGAGTCAGATACATCTAATATATTTAAGGATTCAGATTTTATCATTATACTGCAAACTGAACATCAAAAGAAAATGCTACAACAGTTTGGAAAAAATGGTGTTTGTATTGATTCTACACACGGCACAAACGCATATGATTTCCTTCTCACATCAATATAAGTTGTTGATGAATTAGGCGAAGGGCAACCTGTGGGATGATGCATATCAAATAGCGATTCATTCAGATTTGTAAAAATATTTTCCCTCAAATTAAAAGAACATTCTGGAAGTTTTTTCCCAATTTGGATAATGACTGATTTGGTATCCCAATATTATGAAGCATTTTGTGAAGTTTATTTATGTGCACCTCTAAAATTCTAGTGTACTTGGCATGTTGATAAAGCTTGGAGAGAAGAGTTGCATAAAAAAATACATAATCTTGAAATGGAAGCAGATATATACAAACGTATTAGATTTGTTTTACAACTAAGTGATCGGAAACTATTTGATGATTATTTACAATCATTAATGGATTACTTGCAATCTTCAGATTCAACAAAATTATTTGCTGAATACTTCGAAAAATATTGGGTAAATTATAAACAAATTTGGGCATTTTGTTATCGTATGGGTCATGGCATAAATACAAATATGTATATGGAATCTTTCCATAAGGTTTTTAAGTACAGTTACTTACAAGGTAAGCATAATAAAAGAATTGACAATTGCTTGTTTGCTTTGTTAAAGTTTAATAGAGACAAAGTATATGAAAGAATAATAAAATTAACAAAAGGGAAGATAAGCTACAAACTAAAAATAGTGCATTCTAGGCACATTGAAAGTCTACAACTGTGTGAAAAGTTTACCTTGGATGATAAAGGAGTAAGGTTAGTACAGTCAGAATCAAATGGTTACCAATACAGAGTTTTAAAACACCATGAATTGTGTGAAATAAATGAGTGTCTTACAATATGTCCCGAATGTAAAGTATGTACTCGTTTATATAGTTGCGATTGTATGGATTTTCAAACCAAAAATATCCCATGTACACATATTCATTTAGTACATCGTCTTAGCAATCCTAATGTGTCTACAACAACTCAGCCTCTCGATTTGCCAACAAATTCAGTTGAATTGGAATTTAAAATTATAAAAGCTTGTGAACCTGGATATATTAATACTTTAAAAAACAACATTATTAAAAATTTAAAAGATCTCGTTAATTTAGTTACTTTAAGTACAATATCCGATGAGGATGGTTTGCAGAGTTTACAGAAAAATATATTGTTAGCTAAAAATACTTTTTTAAGCCTAACAACAAATAAGCAAAATGAATTACATTTTAAAAATAATGCTCCATCAAACAAAAGAACAACTAAGCAGTCACCATTTTATTCAACAAAAAAAAAAGCGGAAAACATCAAACATTAGACTTGCAAAACCTTCGGCAAATAAAATAAATAGTTTACTCGATTTTTCTAACTGGACAAAAAAAACAGGTTTTTATAAATTTTTTGTTTTGGTCTTATATCTTTCTTTATCTATGTATTTGTATATATATGATATCTATGTATATGTTGGCTTTTATATTTCTTTATAAATTTATTTAAGAATCTCCATTCGAGTCATCAAGTAAATTTAATGAAGGAAAACTTGACACAACATCTAATAGTGTTACAAAAACAAATATTTTACTGCCAGGTAAAATGTTTTAAAAATTCTTTGGTCTAATTCTTGTTGTTCCCTTACCTGTAAAAATAAAAACAAATGTAAGTTATAATTGATTAGGAACATATATTTTTACACTAAAGACTATTTAAAACTTTTCTTGTTTTAATAATTATTTATTGTTTATTTTATTGTTTTCTTGATTGTTTACTATTTATTTTTTATTGTTTTACTTTGACCATAAAAATTTAGATCAAAAAAAAATATTGAAATTTTTTGGGTACAAAAAATCGCATGCAAGTCATTTGTTAACTGAGAATGAACTGCACATAGATGCTAATCATCCATGCCCGGAAATAATTAACCATGACATTTCAATTATCCAAAATCTAATCAATCCAAAAGTATTTGACAAAATTAAAAAAAAGGGTAAGTTTTCAAGGGAAAACGTTTCTTTCTTTGTTAAAAAAAAACATAAATATAATTATAAAGACCATTTTTTTTAAATAATTTTTTCTCCTACTATGTCGTACTAATTAGTTGCCATTTAAATGAATTATCTTATTTAACAATTTAGTTTTATAAATACAATTGCACTCATTAAAAATAACTAGTTAATTTACTTAAATAAGATACCATAGTTATTCCAACAACAATAATGTCTAGCCGCTGGTAAGCGTTCTTTATGATTTTATAACTAATATTGCTTTGCAGTGTTTTTAATTAACCAAAGTTGGACTTGTACCATTTGTAACATACCTCAGTATAAAGATATGATTGAATGTGAAATTTGCGAAACTTGGTATCATTGGTAAGTAACTTTTATCACCTTGTTAAGTTTTGTTTAAAACTTGTCTTTAGTTTATAGCTGCTACTTCACACCCGTAAATTTTTATGGGTGTGGTGTTTCCCATAATGCTATTTCCCTTAGTTTCAAATTGCAAATTTGCAATAAAACTGCAAATAATTTTATTTTTTAGGATTTGTATTTCTACATCCAAAATGGTATCTGACTGTCATTGGATTTGCTCGAAATGTGATTCCATAAAACTTTCAAAATAAGAGCTCTAACAACACAATACCATTAAGTTAAGTTATATACTAATTAATAAACTAAAAAAAAAATTAATTCTACTTATAATACTACCAAAAGCATGTGTTATTCTGTGTTTAATTACAAAAGTATTTTCTTACATTCATATCATTAATTTGGTGGTGAAATTTTATTAGGCCATTTCATTACAGATTAATTTATTTAAAAAAAAAATTATATTTTAACTGGCACCAGTAAAGTTATAGTCGATTTTCAAATTTTAGGATCCAATTTTCAGATAGATAAAATGTCATTTGGCAATTTTGATTGCAAATAATTTAATAAACAATTTTTTATTGTTCTCGATAATAACATCTTATTTTGAATTTGTACTTATTTGCAATTGTATTTATTTGCACAGTTAAACTTCATTTTTAGTTCATGTCATGATATTGATATTGGCATGAATGTTTATACCTTTCTGATATTAGCATATACATTGGCAAAATAATATATTGCTATTTGTGATACTGGTATAAATTGCCCTAATTGTGCTGTTTGTGTCATGGTGTTAAATTGTTTTTGACACAACACACTTATAACTTAATGACATTGGCAATTTGAAATTAAGAAGCCATGAATAGTGAATTTGGTATGAGTCGTTAGGGTTATCTGATATGTTTATATATTTTTTGCTTTTATTGTTTATCACCATCCACGTTGATCATACCAGACCATACCACCACAACATACACCTTGAATATATATATATATATATATATATATATATATATATATATATATATATATATATATATATATATATATATATATATATATTATATTTATATATATATATGTAGGTATATGTATATATATACAAATATATATATATATATATATATATATATATATATATATATATATATATATATATATATATATATATATATATATATATATATATATATATATATATATATATATATATATATATGTATAGATATATATATATATATATACATATATATGTATATATATATATATATATATATATATATATATATATATATATATATATATATATATATATATACATATATATATATATATATTAATTGGCAATTTGAAATTAAGAAGCCATTAATAGTGAATTTGGTATGAGTCGTTAGGGTTATCTGATATGTTTATATATTTTTTGCTTTTATTGTTTATCACCATCCACGTTGATCATACCAGACCATACCGCCACAACATACACCTTGAATATATATATATATATATATATATATATATATATATATATATATATATATATATATATATGTATATATTATATTTATATATATATATGTAGGTATATGTATATATATAAAAATATATATATATATATATATATATATATATATATATATATACATATATATATATATATATATATATATATATATATATATATATATATATATATATAAATATATGTATATATATATATATATATATATATATATATATATATATATATATATATATATATATATATATATATACATATATATGTATATATATATATATATATATATATATATATATATATATATATATATATATATATATATACATATATATATATATTAATATATATATGTATATGTTCGAACTGGTCAAGCTGGTACTGAAGGGCTGGAGTGGAGAGGCATAGTTAGGGCTGTTATGGTAGCAAAAATAAGTTTAACCTTAATCACATAGTTTTTTTGTTATAAGTGTATAGGAAATTTCTAATAATGTGCATGCAAATTTACATATCTTTGTCCATCAATTTATTTGACACATTTAAAAAAAAATCCATATATTTTTTTATTTATTTATATTTTGATTTATTTGCATTTAAAAATAAGAAATAAGGTGATACATGTAATATCAAAATTATTAATATTCAAAAACAAGCAACACTATATTGCTAGTTTTTTGTTACTAAGAAAATAAAGCATAACTTTGTTTGCAGAAAATTTATTATTCCTGATAAATAGAAAATTCCTCCGATAGCAGTTTTAGCAGATGAGCAGGGTTAAATTTCAGCATTAACAGCCTTCCGAAAACTAAATTTTTTTCCTGCAGTTAACTAAACAGAGGCATAAGAATATCATCTTCATCAATCATGAGTAGGGATCCCTAAAAATTGTTTATTGGGAAAAATTTGGGATCCAGCATAATTTTTGAAATTATTCCAATTTTGGCTTAATATTACCCTAATCAACCCTATATATAATTTCAAAAGAACATTTACATTATCTTTGTATTTGTTTGTTATTTGTGTTTCTTAGCAAAAATATATAGATTAAAGATATAGTTAAACACTTGAGTAAATAAGTACTCATATGTGTTAAAAAATGAACTACTTTAATTTTTAATGTTTTAACTAAAAACAATTGCAAATCAGTAAACAAAAAATTTTTGCATTGCATTATTACAAAATATGTCTATAATAGGAGGAGTATTTTGTTTTCATCTATAACTACTATAAATTTTAAATCCTAGCAAATACTGTGCCAAAATTTACTCTTTTTTTTAAAATCTTAATTATAATTTTGAAAATTATATGTGTTTATTTGTGTGTGTGTGTGTGTGTGTTTATATATATATATATATATATATATATATATATATATATATATATATATATATATATATATATATATATATATATATATATATATATCATGTCAGCCCTCGGAATTAGGGGCAACAATCGGCAATGCCAACACCGTTTCTATGTCTTATGGTAACACCTTAGTATCTTTTTTTTTTTTTTTTTTTTTGCCGACCTGAAACCAACCACTAAAAGATTGAGGTCAGCTGACCTCATTTTCACTAATTTCGAGGGTTGATATATATATATATATATATATATATATATATATATATATATATATATATATATATATATATATATATATATATATATATATATATATATATATATATATATATATATATATATATATATATATATATATATTATATATATCAAATAAATGTATATCTATAAGCACACACAATTATTTTTTATTTTTGAAAATTTATCCTTCAACACTAGCAGTTTGTTAATTAAAAAAGGACTTCATGTTTCTTTATGGTTATCACTCTACAAGGATTTCACAAATGTGAAAGACATTATCCAGGAATGTGTGTTTGGAAATGTGAAGATGTAAGTGCTACAGTTTTTAGGAAAAAACTCAAAATGAATATATTCAACAAGCATTATTATATGAATCATAATATTGCATCAAGCATTAGATTAGTTCTTACTATAAATTTTTTTTTTAGTTAAGAGCAAGACCGAAGAAAAATTAGTTTAAAAAAATAATTATTAGAAAAGATCTAGATGCAACTTCAGTACTAGAACAAGATAAATTAGCATTATGTTGTAGTGCAAGTTATGTAATGTTTTCATAACTTTGTTTTGCATAGACCTAAATAGAAAATTAAATAGATAATATATGTAAGGTATGCTTAAAAATGGTTATACCAGTATACACACTTATAAGAAAAAAAAACAATTTCACTTCATTAAACAGCTTAAAATGTCTTTGTTGCCTAGTGGCTAATAAAATGTCAAAACCGTGACCAATAAGTCTTTTATGTATGAGCATATATACTATATATGCTCATATATGTAGGACTATAATAGGCCTACATAGCTTGTAGCTTATATTGACACATGTCCAATAACTTTACAATTAATAAACTATTATTCAATATTATTCTTAACAATTACTAGTCAGTCTATGTGTATTTAATTACTAGTTACTCTATATGTATTTCATTTCTCAACATCAGCTCCCCCATTACAAAACTATAAAAAATTTTAAATGACCTATTTGCAATGCGTAATTATATAATGTATTACATATATCTAGTTATGTTGATATGTTTGTTATATTTTAGTTAAAAGAAAATAAAGCATAAATTATGTCTTCAGAAGTTGAAGAATCTTGTAAGTTTATTATTTATTATTAATTTTGAATTTATCTCTGTTAAATGCAATTATTACTTTTGTTTTATATAATTTTTCACATTCTAAAATATTAATATTTATTTTGTTTACCTAAAGGTGCAACAAATTATTTTGAAGATTATTCTTGTGGTATGCAAGATGTTTTTTTTATTATTACTATTATTTTTTAAAAGATGTATTATTTTGATAATAAATTTATTAATAATATCTTATTAATATTGCA